CTCTCTCTCTCTCTCTCTCTCTCTCTCTGCCTTTTTGACTTAGTTTGCAAACTAGGGTTAAAATGAATGAAACTTATGTTTGTAGATTAAGTTTCAATTTATATAACTTTATAGCGATTTGATTAATAGACTAGTATATTATGTAAAAATAATAATTATTATTATTGCGCTAAATTATTACTATTAATAATATTTATGATTCATAAATTATGAAAATAATTATAAATGACCTGTGTCTAATATTGCCGCGTACGACACGCCCAATAGAATATTCTTCATGGGTTCCATAAAAGTGATCAGTATTATGATTGTAAGTTTTAATTAAAACAAGATGGTGTTATATTTAAGAGTGTTTATGTTAAACTACGTGTAAAATAAAAGTATTTTTGACTCTTTTATGACTTTTTATTATAAAATTAATTTCAAAACATCAAAATTTTAATATTTTTTGTTGTTGTTTTGGATCACAAATGAGTTGACAATTAATGTGTGGGAAGCGTTAGCTCTGACGATACGGTCATACGATAGTGATTGGCGTAATTGTCTGGATGTGAGACAAACTGTTGTGTTTGACACAAAATAATTGTATTTCAAAAACAATGGCAAATAAAACGCCGCATAAAGTGTTATTTGTGCCGATCTTAGCCGAGGGTCACGTAAATCCCTGTATCGGTATTGCGACGCAAATGTTAGCCGACGGACACCGCGTGTTGTTTACGGTGAACGATGTCTGGCGACCAAAACTGGCCGCTTATGGCATCGAAACGGTAGAGTTGGCTAAAACTAACCCAACGGATGACGCGGTGCTCGATATGGACCGCAGCGCGCATTTTATTATGTCTTTTGGCAAAATTGGCGGCGCGTCGGCCATAGAGAAGATCCCATTTGAGGCAAACACTGCCGAGTTTTTGACAAAATATACCCAATATATGGACACACAGTTGGCCCGTCTGTTGCCCGCCATTCGGCCCGATGTCATAGTTGTGGATCAGTTTTGGACACTGCCGGCGGTGGAGTTGTCGGGCATACCGTGTGTGTGGGTCTGGAGCTTCGGCCCTCTCATGATGGTTGACGATGAGAGGACACCTCCCGGGGAATCAGGTTAGTTATCCCAACACTATGTGTTTTGCGACACTACCTCTTCTATCCCACGTTAATCTTAAATGAATTGCGATTAAAAATTATCAAGTCTTAAATGACTGTTCAATGCATAGGATTGTCCGCTACGGGAGACCCGAGACTGTGGCACGAGTTTCGCCAATTGTTTAGAGACGTGATGATAGAGAAGTGGCGGGCGTTTAACGATTGGGTGGTCGGCCGGGGCTGCAAACCATTGCCAGAACTCTGCTTTCGCAACCCATCGCGTTATCTTCATATATATGATTATCCCTTAGAGTTGGGCTATCAGGACATCCGGTCGTTGGGACACAATTATGTCCGCTTCGATCATTTTAAGCGCACCGAACGGGACTTGACATTCGCTGTGCCGCCAGTGTTGGCCGATAAGCCCGGAAAGTTGATCTACTTTTCGTTCGGCTCTCTCTGTCCGGTCGACGTGGCAAATATGCGGCGATTGGTCGCCATTTTGGCCAAATCTCCGCACCGTTTCATCGTATCGATGGGTCCGAAGCATAAGGAGTACACTTTGGCCGACAATATGTGGGGCGCGGAATCTGTGCCGCAGATCCGAGTTCTATCGCTCGTAGATCTGGTCATAACTCACGGCGGCATAAATACGGTGACCGAAAGTCTATACTTTGGCCGACCGATGATAGCTATGCCTGTATTCGGCGAACAATACGATAACGCGCAGAGACTGCACGACAAAGGCTTTGGTCTACGACTGGACGCATACAAGTGCTCGGAGGAGGAGCTGTTGGCTGCGATCGAGACTCTGCTAAACGATCTCCTAATGGCTGAACGCTTGGCCAAAGTCTCCCGAAGAATACAAACCGATAATAGTTTGGCAAAAGTGTCGCAACTTATTGAGGATTTTGTTCAAAATCCGCGCAAATATATTGATTAGTATTAATACATTTATGTTTAATTAAAATTGTTAATTAATTTGTATTGCAAAACATTTGCTAATTTCTTATAAAGTGTGTTAATTGTAATAAATATTTCGAAAATAAGTTGTAATATAGAAAACTATAGGATTTTCTATAAATTTAATTTAATTAGTGTAAAGTTTTACTTTCCTTTGCATCATAGTCTTGCAGGGCGTGAATGATTGGGTAAATGCGTTTAGTGGAAGGTAACATACTGTCATGTATAGAATGGGAGTATGACATTAGCTCGAAAGACACTAGCTCGAAAGACACTAGCTCGAAAGTCACTAGCTCGAAGACATCAGCTCGAAGACACGAGCTCGAAAGACATCAGCTCGAAAATGATTAAATTGATT